CCCCGCCTGCTCCTACGGCCACCACTCCGACGGCCCCTCCCTCCCTCCCGCCCTCCCCTCCTCCCTCCACCGGGAGGCGGCGCCATCCACTCACAGCAGTCGCTGTCCACAGTGCCGTGCAGCTGGCAGGTGGCGCCGTCGACGGACTTGGCAGCCTGCAGCACCCGCTGCTGCACTGTGGCGTTCGGGGCCGGCTGCAGCGGCCACGCACCAGGCGGGGAGGGACGGACGATGGTGAGGCTGGGGACAGACGGGTGCTGTTTGGCTCGTCGCAGCGCGTCAGCTGGCGGCACAAGTGGGGCAGCGGCTCTTATGAATCGGCGAGTCCAAGCATGCAGACAAGCCCGATGTGGGCATCGATACAACTGAATAAGCGGTTGCATGTCGGCACCAACCTGTTGCGCCGCTTTGACTGGCGGCTGCTGCTCCTGCTGCTGCTGCGGCTGCGGCCGCTGCTGCTGCGCCGCAACCAGCTCCTCCAGGCGATGCCGCAGCTGCTGGGACGCCCCCTGCAGCCGCCCCAGCACCTCGTGTGACGCCACATGCACCCGCTCAAGCTGCCGCTGCCCTGCCGGCCACCCATCAAGCTGTTGATGCAGCTGCGACCCTGGGCTCGCCAGGAGTGCCACCAGTAGCGCGATCGCCGCGGGTAAGAGCGCCGCAAGCAACCGTTTCGCCATCGCCGCAGCAGGTGCCGCCAACGCCGGCGCGCCGCTGCCGGGTTTGGTCATTCAAGACGTCCAGAGTCAGATTATTTGATGGGTTTTCAAGGCCTGTGGGGTGTGAATTGCCTTGTGCACGGCAGGTGCACGGTGTCTCGACAAATCTGGAATGTTGACAGAGCAGCTATGCGCGGATCCCTTGAAGTGAGGTCGTGAAGATTTTATGACTCCAACTGTTCGCTGTGGTAAATCATGGCGAATGAGATGATCCGTAGGCAGATCAATTTTATCCCTACAGGCTTGTATGACTGGGGGCTTCGATACGCGACTGGTCTCCGAGGAATTGTGTTGCACATGTACAGCTGCAAGGGGATTCCGGTTTGTGCGCCGCAGTGTGGATGCGGCGGTGCGCGCCCGTCCAACTGGTTTGTGGTCTGGTCAAGGGGACGCGCAAGAGGCGTGAGCGCTTCCGACATGCAGCCAGCCGCAGCCGCCCATGATCCAAAGCCGATGGCCGCAGCGGAGCCTCACCAGATGACGCCTGCAGCAGGTGTTGAACCTGAGCGGCAGCCAGGGCAGCAGGAGCAACACGAGCAGCAGGGGCCGCTAAAGCACTTGCAGCTTGCAGCCGTGGCCAATGAGGATGGCCACGTTTCTAATCGACGTTGCTGTGCTGGTGCTGCTGGGCCCTGTGCTGTCCCGCCCAGTAAAGCTGCTCACCTTTGCACTGCTTGCGAATCACCCAGCGCACTGCGCCGCCACGCGCGGGCGCCGCTGTGCCCGCGCCTCCGGGGCTGGGGCCGGGGCTGCGCTGAGCCGCTGGGGCCTGCGGGCACGCCACCCATCAAAAACGGGCAGCGTTTGCCAAGCCTGTGGTGTTGTTGCTGCGCCGCTCATCTCAGGCGTTGACACCCAGGCGCCAGCGGCGCCCTGGACCAATGGAACCCACCTGGGGGG